CTGCTCTCCTGCCACATCCCCATGAACCATAACTTGTTCCCCCGTGTTCTTCCCTCTGGTTTCGAACTGTTCCCTTGCTGTTTACCTCAGGCCTAGGGGCAGCCAACTTACTAGTTTTATTTTTCTTGACCTTTTGTTCGGTTTCTATCTGTTCCCCAGATGTGAAGCCATCGATATTTACCTTTTCCTTCTGATTTATTTTGGCTAGCATAATACCTCTTGCTCCATCCATGTTAGTGCAAATGCCTCCTTTAATGTTTTACGGTATGTGTGAGAAGAGCCTACCACTTTAGAAAGGAAGATACAAAAAAGTAATAGAGAATGGGGCACTAACCCCCTCCCAGTTTACTTATCATTTATATTATTTCTCTGGAGATGTATCATCCCTAGCATCTGTTATAGTAGGTAAAACTCCTACACTGCTCTGATCTTTAAAAGGACAGCCAACTCAACAGGCATACCTAGTCACGTGATCTACAGGGAAGAAAGGCATCCCTCAGCTGTTAGGTAAACCCACGCTGGGCTTTTGCAGCTTCTCTTAATACCATGTGAAGATCAGACAGAGAGACAAGCTGTTAGAGAATACCCAGCATAGGTCCTGCTACCAGAAAAGGAGGAGAACTGTAGTAACTGCCAAGAATGATGCATCATTGAGGAAACAATGTTATTGGCAATGCAAGAGAGGCTTCCCAAAGATCAAGGGGTTAGAACTATGCCTACATTTGGAAGACTTAATGTGACTTCTCATTCAAAAATAGAATTCCTTCAGCAGCAGCCCGGACATATGAATGCCATGTCACACCTGAATTCAGGTGGTGTCTAGGTCGACAGCTAAGAGAGGTGAGCACCAATAAGGCAAGTCTACTGAAAGGTTTATTACTTTTCTAGAGTGGTGGGACAGGGCTCAGCACAGATTCCAAAAGACCAGCACAGTAGAGAGGGAAACAGCCAATGGCGGGGGCGCAGGCAGTGGCCCAAGTTCAAGGAGGCCAGATACAGCCACTCAAGGAAACAGGGAGATTGTGAGGACATAAGCAGAAGACAGGTTCAGAAATCAAGATATTAGCACAGCTAGTATGTAGTAGAGAAATGTCAGAATTTGGAATCAAAAGGTAAGAAAGTGTTTCATTATTGATTCCTGATTCAGCAAAGGCTAAGAAATCTCAACAATGCAAACCAACTTATGGCTAGCCATCATTTCATTTTTACTTCCTATCATTCTCCATAACAGACATTTTCTAAAGATTCCTAACCCTCCATTGAGGGGCGAACCAAAAAGATATGTGTGATGACTGAAACTCAGCACTGGTGAATAGGGCCTATTTGGGAACAGGATCTTTGCCAATGTGATCAAGTTCAGATGAAGTCATCCTGGATTGTGGTGCAGCCTGGTGTCCCTACCAAAGGGGGACAAGTTGGACGAGACACAAAACTGGGGAAAGGCCACAAGAAGACAGAGACGGAGACCCGAGTGGGACATGTCCAGGTCCCAGGGCCCCAGGACTGCTGGTAAGCACCAGCACTGAGGGACAGGACTGGCACAGGTTTTCCCTCCAAAGCTTCAAAAGGAGCAACCAGTACCTGGATTTCAGACTTCTAGGAAACATTCTATTGTTTTAAGCTGCCGAATTTGGGCACTGTTAGAGCAGCCCTAGGAAATCAGTATACCCTCCAGGAAGAGCACTGCATTCAAGCTAGAAGGAAATTCCCTTATTTCTACTTCCTCCACCGACGTTCTGCTCTTATCTCCCCCCTGCTCCACAGCCTGAGTAAGAAATGCCCTTCTCTTCTGCTGGAGTGAGCACCTCACGTCTTGCCCCCGCTCCTCCTTGATCCTGTCCTCTAACACTTTTCCGCTCTGCTCATTGTATTACTCAGTGGCCCTACTGCAACTTCAGGATCTACAGTAGATCCTTTCCTGTGACCATCATTTCAGTCTGCATTCACTCATGCATTTTCATCACTAATCTACCCTTTTCTTTTTGTGATTTGAATTCTCCTACTATCATCCCATTGAAACTGTTTTCTTGAAAATCACTAATGAACATGCTAAACAACAAATCTTTGGACTTGTCTCAGTGCTTACTCACTTTTGTCCTTTTCTAACGACACTTTGACCAAGTCCTCGTCCTTAAATTCTTTCTCAAGTCACACACAGCTTGGTTCTCTTATCTCTCTTTTAGCTTACTTCCACTTCTTTCACTAGTGCACCTTCTTTTAACGGAGATATTATACAAAACTACCCTTGACTCTCTTTTCTTTTCCATGTCTCTTCCATTCATTAGCTGTGCTGAATCCATGCAGGGCAAGTCACATAAAACTCTGTGGCTTAACTTTCCTTACCTTTAAAATGGGAAAAGAATGCCCAGGCTGCTGTAAGGCTCAGGCTGCTGTAAGGACTGCATGAGTATGTCAAGTGACAGGCGCTTAGAATCAGGTCTGGAATACAGTAAGCCCATAAAAAAGTGTTGTTATGGCTGCTATTACTAGTGCTCGGGTTTATCCACTCTCACAGCTTTTTCCCCATGTTCCCTCATTTTATTCTATGCAGCAAATACTTGCTAAAGATCTGTGACAAACAAGGCCGCTCTTCAGGGATTACAGAGGTATTCTTTCATGGAACACACAGTGTAGGTGAGGGCAGTGTGCAGTCACAGTACTGAGGGTTGGCCATTACAAGAGGTAACAACAAAAAAGCCCAACCTCAATGGTAAGAAAAAGAAGGGATGAACTCTGGCTGGCTGAAGAGAAATAGCAAGAGTTTAGTAAAGAGGTAGCTTTAAATAATAGATAGGATCTGATACGAGAAGGCAGAGTGCCTTCTAGGCAATGGGAACAGATTGGCAAAAACTGAGAACTAAGAAGGGGGGAGACATAAAGAAGAATGAATGAAGTGCAAGGCACATGCAGGAGAAAAGTAGGAGACAAAGGTTAAAAGCTATTGTCCTATTATGAAAATCTGTGAGTGTGAAGATAAAATTTTTTATTTCATTTTGGAAGCCGTAGGGAGTGATGGGTATGCATTTAGAATTGTGTGATTAACATGATTTATCAACTAAGAGAAACCAGTTCATCAGAAATTTCCTCCATATGTCAGGTCAAAAGTTCTATCTGTCAAAAAAAGTGGCGTGAGGGCCCTTCCTGGTGGCGCAGCGGGTTAAAGCACAACACTAAGAAGCTAAAGCCACTTCAGCATGAGTTTGATCCCTGCCCCAGAGCTGACCCACATGGCGCCGCAGACTTCTCCTGACCCACCCACTGCTCCCCTCAGCAGTGTACTTAGTCAATCTGCCTATTTTGCTCCCCACTCTGTCGCTGATAAATCCTAAAATATGTATGATTCTGTAAACCAAGTAATTCCTCAAGAAAAAAAATTAAAAATTAGAAAAAAATATACATAATATGAAAAATGGCAGTCACTTTACCATTTATTGTGGAAGCTGCATTTTTAATTTACTTGAATGAATGTAAAAGGTGGCATTGGTGGCATTTCAAGAAGTTTATTATAAAACAATCTTTTTTTTAAAGTAATTTCAAAAAGTCTAATTTATTATTTTCAACAGGTTGGTCAGCTGGCCCAATTCCATTTCTTGGAATAATTGAACACTAGTTATATATAACTTTTTTTTTTTAAGATTTATTTATTTATGCATACAGGCCAGAGGTGCAGGGGTGGCGAGAGGCTTCATCAGAGACAGAGTGGGGAGCAGAACAGGCAGATCAACGAAGTACACTGCTGAGGGGAGCAGCGGGCGGGTCAGGAGAGGTCTGCTGTGCCATGTGGTCTCCTCTGGGGCAGGTGGGAATCGAACTCATGTGGAAGTGGCTTTAGCTTCTCAGTGCTGTGCTTTAACCCGCTGCGCCACCAGGGAGGGCCATATATAACTTTTTTTTTTACTCACTAATCTCCCATCTGTATTGTACCTTGGTTGCAGGGTTATCAGCAACATAGCTTTGTAATATACGATACTGGTAATGAATGGGCACTCTCATTTTTTCTTGCATCCTTTCAAACATTTCTTCTTACAAATCAAATGAAGCAGGGCATCCCTGGAGGCACAGGGGTTAAGTGTCAGCACTGTGAAGCTATCCGCAGCCACTGGTGAACCCTCTCAACCCCCCACCTCCCACCTCTGGCCTATACCTCACCTCAGCATAAATAATAAAAAAAAAAACAACTTTTGAAAAATTAAAGGAAGCATCATTTTTCTTAAGCTTCCCTAAAAAACTTCTTAAAAATTAATAAATGCAGATTGTAATTGAATGTATTAATAGCAGAGAGTAAATTGGCTATATCTGACATGTCTATAATGTTTATGTGAAGTTTTTTATTTCAAACTACCTTTGAAATAAAGTTTCATAAATTTTGTTATACTGGCTTTCCTCAGATTTAAGCATTTCATGTACTTCCAACCACTGCTCAAATAAAGGAAATCCACTGGATTTTTGCTTACTGTGTCGGGCTCCCTAACAAAACTTTCTTACTATTCGCAAACTTTTAATTTCATTCTCTACCTCTTGGTAACAGTCACCTAAAAAGAAAGATTGTTTACTTATATTATGGCCTTCCCTTGTGGCACAACAAGTTAAAGCACAGCACTATCAAGCTATCGCAGCCACTGCAGCATGAGTTAGATCCCCGGCGGGGGAGCTGATCCATGTGACATGGCAGACCTCTTCTGTCTCACCCACCGCTCCCCTCAGCAGTGTATTTCAGCCCACCTGCCTGTTCTGCTCCCCACTATGTCTCTGGTGAATTCTTTCATCCTCCTCCCCCACACCTCTGGCCTGTACCCCAGTTCTGGAAGCATAAATAAATAAATCATTTAAAAATACTATTTATTATTTTTTATTGCATTAATTAACTGGACCTATCAGAGTAACACTGAATAATTAAAATCCAATCTAAAGAATAATCTACTTTTAAAAATTTTGTTACTATACAGAGACACTATGTGCACTTTTAAGAATTAGGTTTAAAAACTTTATTATTATTTTACCATTCTTGATGTTAGGGAAAACAAGATGTGTAGGTGAACTTCTGTTTTCAGCGGCTTCTTTCTTCTGGTTAACAGTTGAAATAAAACTGCTGAAAGTGGAAATCTGGCCTTTGGCTCCTCTTTCCAAACCCTAAAAGTAGAAAAGTTTACATTGCAGCATAATTCCAGCTAGCTATATTAAAATTGTAATAATATTATTTTATTGCAGAAATCATAAACAGTTATAATAGCTTTTAATCTGATATACATAAAATTGACTTACCTTTTCTAGGGACAAATTATTTAGTTATAAAAAAAGCCATATCATCTAATTGTGGATAATAAATAGCTCCTACCTCACAGTGTTATTGTGAGGATAAACTGAGATAATAGATACAACACAACACAGTTCTTGTACATTGTACCTGTTCCATTAATGTTAACATTTTTAGCTTTGTATTTATGTAACATGTTAATTATGACTCTACAAATATTGTTTTCAATAGTTAATATGCATGTAATACCCTACTGGTTAATTCACTGAAGGTTTTCTTGTCTTTTGCTGCAGCTTTAAAAGTTTAAGTAAAAAGACTGTATTTCTATTCAGGCACCTGATGTATTTTGCATACATCAGGATTAAATAAAAACAAGAATGCTAAGCACGTAGGGATTGTTCAATGCACAAACAATCTTCCTATAGCACAGAATCAATACTCCTGCCACAAAATGTCAAGTATAAGTGCACAGCCTAATATATAGTTAATCTGTATAATTATAAAATCATCATCAGTATAATGTTCAGTTAGTACAACTACTTTAGAGCTTATTCTCAGTTCTCAGCTTTTTCTAGCTTACACTATGTTCCAGCTTCTAGATGCTTAATAGAATATAGTAATTTCTTCCTTACATCCACTTCTTTAGGGTAATTTCTTTACTTTTATAGAACAGAGTTTTTGTTCATTTCCTCTTTACTCATTCACCAGAAGACTAATTTCCATTTATCTTGTTAGAAACAGCTTGTATGCCATGTAACAGAAAAAAACATTCCCATTCACCACATTCACTCCCTACACTTCCATTCCTCTTACAGTTAAGAGAAACATCTAATTAATTCTAGTGGGACACAAGTACAAGTAATGTCTGTCCTTCGTGGGCCAGGAAGCACTAATGCTTTTCAGGCCAGTTTCCACTTCTGCTCTCCTTCCTCTGAGGGAACCAGAGCCCAAAGTGAGATGTAGAGCACTCACTGGCTTGGGACTATGAAGAACCTGTGCAGAGCAGAGCCACTGGTAACCACCATTAGACTCTATAGCATCAGCCATAAATAAAACTTGAGAATTGTCAAACATTATAATGTGGAGCCACTTTGGAAATGCAGCGCTACCTACCATCATTCCTCTGTTACCAGTTTCACCACCTCAGTCATTTCTGCTTGCAACTTAAGTTATAACAGTTCTCATATGGGTACTTCACGCTGGCATAGAAACTGCCTGTCTACCATAGAGTTAGACAAACAGTGAATCTTGGACAGAGATTCTGTACTTTTACAGTAAATTTACTGCATTTCTTCTTTCATAAAAGAGTTTAGTATTGAAAAGAATCTACAAACAATAAATGGCAGATAGCATACAGAATAGATTTTAATAATTATTTAACTCCTTTATTTTATAGATGAGAGAATGGAATTTTTTAGAGACTCACCTGAAATCATTCAGCATCATGGACACTATATGAGAACTTCAGGAATACTTTAATGAGCTAAGCATCTACATGCAACTTTGTATGTATGACATCCTTGGCACTCATAGAATTTGCTGTTTGTTTTGTTTGCTTCTTAGTTAGATTTAGGCTCAGTGAGGTCTGAGTTAATAATTCTGCATTAAGATTATCCTACATAATCATTCAGTCTATAAAAGTTATACATAACTGAAATAAAGTGGTATTCTAATCTTTGTTTCAGAATTATAGACAACAACATCTAGAGTCTGATACAGGACCTACAAAACAACAGGTGCTCAACAAATTAGCAGTCCTACAGCAGCTTACTAAAACAAGTTAGTATCTGCAGTCTGCTGAGTACTATATTGATTCTATGAAGTAATGCACTCATTTTCATATGGGGAAACTAAAGTATTACACCCAGTACATAGAGCTATTAAGTGGGAATTTAGACTGTAATCTGAATGACCCTTAAGTGTGTATTCTCACTACACTTCAGTGTCTCTTGCTCTAGAATATTGCTATCACTCATTAAGGCTTTATTATTTATATATGTTATACATAGCAACCTATCTCTGTAGCTGTTTGTGGCTGATATGACCTCTAATTTTATAAATGTATGCTGAATGAAATTTAATAGTTTTATGAGCAATTCACCTAATTCACCTAACCTAACCTTAGCAGGAAAGGTAAGTGTACTTTAGGGAAACCTTTGATGTTCTCACAATCTAGGAAAAACTTATTATTTTATTGTTCTTCCCTTTTACCCCTCCTTAATGAAGGGTCTCAAAGAATATTGCTTAGATCATTTGTGGAATCTCCAAATAATAAATAATTGATTCAATCAATAAAGCCATTTGACAACTAGTAGTTCTAATCTCTACTAGATTTATGTAGATATCTAGAAAGAAAAAAATTAGAGATAAAAAAGAAAGTGATAAACTTTCCATGAAAGTCTTACTAAATTACATAGTTTACATTATCTTTGTAAATTAAAGCAGCTTACACAACTAGTGTACTGATTAGGCAAATAAAATCTAAATGAATTATATACTGTAAAAGTAAATCATTCCTTGCTCTATTAGGATACTTAGATAAGAATTTCATTAACTTTGGAGGCCAGGTTCGTTCATTTGTATGTTTTGTTCTGTCATAATATCTTAAATAATAGTGGAAACAATGTCAAACTTGATGCATTTGATGCATGTTGTTGCTGTGGCAAGATTTCATATTTATTAATAGCTGAGTAGTATTCCATTAGGTTATACATGGTAATTAATAAAAATAACAAATTTATAAAATGAGCTTAATGGTCCCTTAGGGTGTATTTTTAAAAAAATACTTAGGATTTTTACTATATTATTTTCATTGTTCTAACAACACTGTATGCAATTATGAGGTATAATATAGTCTCTCTGCACCTATACGTGTAGGTTTTGGAAGCATTACTGCATGACTGCCCTAAGATAAAGGCCTGCATCATGAGGCAAGCCAGAGGACACGCAGGTAGCCATTACTGTGATTGTGTGGTCATGGTGTGAGGTGGCCTAGAAGTACCTCAGATATCATTAAGTACAGACCACTATTTACACAGGAAGCCCTTTTTAGCTGTATGGTTAGGATGATGCTCTCAGTTGCTTTTTTGTGGCCAACATGTCCCCTCCAGTTCCCCTTACCATTTGTCTCCCCTATCTTCTGCTCTTGTCACAGAATCAATCACACTTGCTTGATACTGCTAATAAACACACAAGGGCTGCATACGGAGCAGCAGCGCCTTGGCGAACCTGCTCCATAAACCATCTCTCTCAGCAGGTTAGCGTGTCCCTGGTATAAAAGCAAAGGTTTACTACTCTTCAAATGTATGTGGTAACACCATGTGCCCAACCAAGACATCCATAACCCTCATATTCCACTGGACCCCAACTCACACTTTGTTCCCCCCTTCTCTTACCTTCTCTCCTAGCATCAGTTCTACAGTCAGACTTCTAGGGTTTATTTTGGTCTAGTTTTTACTGTTCCTTTGTTTTGCCTGTCTATATTCCACGTGAGTAAAATTATTGGTATTTGTTCTTCTCTTCCTGACTTGCTTTGCTTTGCTCCAAGCCCCATGTTCCATGCATGTTGTTGCAAATGGCAAGCTTTCATCTTTCTTAATAGCTGAGTAGTATTCCAGTATGTGTGTGTATATAATGCTTCCTAGTCTACTATCTATCATTGGCACTGTGTATCCACTAGCATGGCTATTGTAACACAGGCACACACATATTCCTTTATGTTAGTGTTTCTGCACCTTGTGTGTAGATATCTAGGAGTGGGCTTACTGGATCGCATGGTAGGTCTATTTTTAGACTTGAGAAACCTCAATACTTTTCCCCACCAACACCCCTCAAGGTGTTTCTTTGGTAACTGTCATGGTGTTCTCTTTTGGTTGAGTAACAATGGATTTAGGGAGCAGTGAGACTGGAATACAGTACATAGTCAGAAAGGGAGAATGGCTCAGAAAGATGAAACTAGAAATACAAGCAGAGACTGTATCATGAAGTTTTCAGATTATGGAGAACAGATTCTATCCTAAAGGCGCTAGGGAAAATCATTGCAGACTAGTAAATGAGGGTGACATGATCCTATTAGAACTTTAGAAAAATACCCTGGCAACAAGGTGGGGAATAGGTGGAAAGGGGGTAATATCTGAAGTTAAAACCACCTCCTGGAAAAGATGGAGTGTGACCTGAAACAGCAGTAATCGGAATGCCAAAAAAATAGAATTTTTCTAACTGATAAAAGTTGTTATGTGTCAACTGTTATACAAAATGATTATAAGGATAGAACTGGGAAATAATGGCAGGTATGATACTAGATGATAAAGCTTGAGAACAAATGGGCAAGAGAGGTAAGAAATCCAGAGAAGGTGCTATGTTAAACACTAAGACAGGACAGTTTCCAGAAAAAAAGTGTCCCAGAACATTAAATGATGAAAATGGTTAGGGGTAAAAGTGCATACCAGAATGAGAAATTGAAATCTTGGGGGCAACAGGTTCAGGGGAATGTGGTGGCAGAAACAGTCTGAGATGGAATGGCAAATGCATGAGCAGTGAGGAAATGAGGGCAGAGAGCAGGGCTGCTCTGCCAGAGCTTTAGGGGATGTCAATGGTTGTCAGGGCACAAAGCTTAGAGGGAAGAGTCCTTGGGCATGTGATCACGGTGGCCAGATCCAATGCTGCCTTTCTAATGGTCTCACTCTGGTCCCCATATGCACAACTGATGTTCTTTGTGCTGGATGGCAATGGAGTGGCACAGATTGGCCCTCACCAGAAAAGCAGCCACCTGTAGGCAGGGTAGCCACACCCGGGGTGACCTGGCATAAAAGGTATTGATGCTTCCTACCTGTCAATCAGAGGAGGTTTTTACAGATTTTAGATGAAGGGCT